CAGCTATTATTGTGAGGCAAAAAAAGAGATGATCATGAGTAAGTTCATTTCCTTTGCTGGCTGTGTTCAGAAATGTATGTCTCATTCTGCATTTTGAGTTGTGTTTCAGACTTAATAAAAGGGTAAATTGAGGCAGACTTCTCCAAGCAAAGTTATGTTTTATTAGTAGGGGTGCTACCCACCAATAAAACAGATCTCTTTATCCCTCAAACAGCCAAAGACCCTACATTGAGAGTGCAATACATTTTTATAGGTAGAGAACAAAGAACAGAACACAAATTGGTTATGGGATTAGTAACATCATGGAGTTAGGAAATTATGATTGGTGACATCAAGGAAGGTGGGCATAAAGTACATATGGGGATCAGGCTTAGCTCTTTCTGCCTCTAAGGAATGCTTTGGGAATTTATGAGGTCCAGCTACATCTTGAGGTCATAGATACTAGAAAGGAGCACCAGATCTGAAGGTGCTTGGGCATAAGATAAAGCCACCTAAAATTTACAAGGATAGGGCCTTAAGATGGTCTAAGGTCAACTTAGTCTGGTTCTCAAGGATGACACAGAGATATCATTCAGTTTCTCAGAGGCTGAAGTTATGCGAAATAACAAACTTCTCTTGGCAGGCATGATGTGCAGGTGTTGCAGAGATAACAATTCCCATGCTCAGAGTTTTTCTTTAATTAGCAGTGATTATGGGAGAGCCATAGCTTATACATCCAGCTTCAGAGAGGAAGGCTGAACTTTGAACTTATGAGCTGCTTTCCCCAGAGACAAAGGGGAGGACTAGGCCTGTTACATAGAATACAGAATCTGGTTAATCACTTACAGAGTGGAATAAAATATAAAATACAGGATAGAACAACAGAATTTAATATAAAGTACCAAACCAACATCTACTCTTTTAAATTCATTACAGGCTAGATGAATCTTTGAATCAAGTTCAGAGACAAAGGGACATGATTTAAGCAGTAACTGGATGAAATCAATAAATTGTAAATAGGGTCAATGAGAAAATGATCAGGATCAATTTTGATCTTCTCAGAGTGCACCATCTTTCTGCCAAAAAGTGGGTAAGTAGCATGCATCATCATTGGTCTTCTGGAATCATGGTTGGTCATTGCATTGAATATAATTTTTAAGTCTAAGTTTTTTGTCTTTATATGCTGTTATTGTATAAATTGTTTTCCAGGCTCAGTTCACTTCACTGTATCAGTTCATACATGTCTTCCACGATTTCTCTGGAACTGTTCCTTTTATAATTTCTAATGGCACATTGGCATACTATAATATCCATATACTATTATTTATTCTGCCATTCCCCAGTGGATGGGCACCCCCTTAGTTTCTATTTTTGCCACTACAAAAATAATTGCTATAAATATTATTTATACATATTGATTCTCTTCTTTCTTTGACTTCTTTTGCATGTGGGTCTAGTAGTGGTATTTCTGGGTAAAAGAGTATGCGCAATTTAGTTATTTTGGGGGATAGTTCCAATTTGCTTGTGAGAATAGTTAATACCAATTTACAGTTCCACCACTAGTGCATTAAGGTGCCTATTTTATCACAGACCCTCCAACAATTTTCATTGTCTTTTTTTTTATCATTGTTGTCAATCTGACAGGTGTTAGATGGAACTTCAGAATTGCTTTAATTTGAATGTTTCCAGTTATTAATAATTTGGAGCATTTTTTATATGGCTGTTGATAGGTTGGATTTCTTCCTTTGAAAACTGTCATTTGATAACCTTTGATCATTTACCAAGTGAGGAATGGCTTTTGTTCTTATAAATTTTAATTGATTTCCATATGGGCATTTAAATCCAGCAAATACATAGAGTTTTGTACCAGGGGAGGAATATAACCTAATCCTCTAACCCCTGTGGCATAAGACTTTCTCCTCATTGGTAGAGAGCAATGCCCCATACCTTCATGAGAGGCAAAGCTGATGAGAGCAGGAGAGAAGAGAGATCTGGGTTTTTCAGTTATTTCTGTCTTGTCAGTCTCTTTGCAGTCTTCTGGCTTTCATGTTTGAGAGAGATGGGCAATGCCAACCCTACTTCAGGTTGTTGAAGGGAGAATAAGATTCTGGGAAGATGTCCACATGAGAAAATCAGGAAATCTCTATCATGTCCCTTCCCCCAGCTTATTACACTAGAGACTTTGGGGAATTTCCCCTTGGGTGAGATCTAGGACTCTCTCTCTAGGTTAAACTCAGTTACCTTGCTCCCAATGGAAAAACGCTCACTCTGTATTGTCTGGTATATATTTTCATACATACACACTTTCTCTAATTTCTGTTTTGCTATCAACTTAGATAAATGGGTTTCTTTGCTAAAATAAATACATAAATAAATCAAGCAAGCAAGTTTTCAGGCCATCGAAGAATATTTATTTCTATCCTCTGGATAAATTTGTCAATCTTTATTGATGTGCACCATGGTATAAAGCTGTGTTGCAGTATTCCATCTACATTTGGGAATTTCTATAATGCTGGAGCAGTTCTTCTTCTCAGCATATCAATATATTTATCAGAACTTATCCTTCCCTCAATGGGAACAATACTTCTAGGTCAATTGGAAGTAAAAAAAAAAAACAACTCAAAACTATTTTTTTTGGAGTAGATGTTTTACAGTTTGATGAAAACATCTAGAGATTATATAGACTCACATGACTTTCTTCTGCTAATAGTTTTGGCATATACTTGAATGAAAAAGTGAGTTTCATCAGTAAAAATTACTCCCCCCCCAATCTTCAGTACTTTATCTTTGTACTGTCTTGCCAATGACAGTCACTTTCACTTCATTGAAATAATTAGCAGCTTCTTTTTTTAAAAAAATAAACTCATTTTCTCACTTTTCTTATATTTTTTGGGGGGCTAGACAATGGGGCTAAGTGACTTGCCCAGAGTCACACAGCTAGTAAATTTCAAGAGTCTGAGGCTGGATATGAACTCAGGTCCTCCTGGTGCCCTATCCACTGTGCCACCTAGCTGCCCCACCTTTTCTTATAATTTTAAGAAGCCTAACTGTAGAGGAATCAATAACAACCACTTCAGCAGTCAGAGCCTTCTGTAGGTCTTTGCTTGCTTTCTAATGATTAATTAGGCTGTTTCACAGTAATACTTTATCATCTTTTAGCATTGTTTTTTGGCTACTCTTTCTTTTTGCATTTAAATATGACTGATGTAAATGTCATTGGAGGTTTAAATCATTCTTGAGATGCTTGACGTCCTCACATCCAACAGTTGCCGCAATTTCTTTAACAGTCATTGAAGTGTACTCCTTAAGAGTAACAACTTTTGAACATTTTCCTGAAGTTATATCTATACATCAAAAATCATAGAATTAATATTACAACAAAAGAGAGTAGTGAAACACGTATGCCACAAAATCCAGTGCTCAACTGAAAGAGAACTAATTAAAGGTGGGGAAACCAGCTCAATCTAGATTATCTGGTCAAGGTTCTTTATTTTTAGTCAGTCTCATTTCAGTAAAAATATACATGCATGACACTTGCTTTCACAAAATGAAGCCATATCAAAATTATTTTTACACCAAGTAATTTGCACACTACTGTATGCCACAGTGCCTCTTTCTGTAATTAGAAAAAGTCAAAATAAAACAATTGCTCTTACAACCTCTCCAAAGCCTGAGAGTGCTCAGAATTCTGGTTCTTAGAATTAACACAAAAGTTTCTATAGGCTCCCTCTAGTCTATTTTCCTCAAGCATCAGCATTTAAGATAAACAAAAATTATTAATTTAATTTTAAATATTTAATTATTATTATAGCAGTGTAAAAACCCTTTTCAATGCTGTATTTCAGGGACGGTGTGGGTTAAATAGACTTTTGTCAGCTAGGCTGGGAGTATCATCACTATTTGTGATACTGTTTCAATGGGAAAAGGAGTTCAGCTTTCCAAAGAAAAGTCTTACAAATGCACTTTCAGATTTCACCTCTACATTGGTCTCAGCTCTTATGTCTATACAGATGATCCACACATCTCCATCTCTATAGGGATTCAGTTGGATTGTCTGGTGTATACTTAGACTGATGTGTCCTACACAGCTAGGTAGTACAGTGGACATGAGTGCTGGGTCTGGAGTCAAGAACACTCATCTTCCTGAGATCAAATCTGTCTTCAGATCCTTACTAGATGTGTGACCCTGGGCAAGTCACTTAACTATTTGCTTCAGTTTTCTTATCTGGCAAATGAACTGGAGAAGGAAATGGCAAACTACTCCAGTATCTTTGCCAAGAAAACCACAATTGTGGTCACAAAGGGTCAGACGCAACTGGAAAACAGCTCAACAACAATCTATCCCATCATACGTTAAAATCAGCATATTTGAGGCCATACTTATTATCATTCCTGCCATACTAGTCACTCAGGTTTGAAGCCTTGGAGACATCCTTCAAGCTTACCCTCTTAATTTCTCCAACTTAGCCAAGTCTTAACCATTTTTTTTTCTTTCTGCCTCCCATACCCATCCACTGCTACATCACTAGTTCAGGCCTTTATCACCTCACACTTGGACTATAGAAATAGCAAACTGGTCCCCTGGTATCCAGCCTGCCTCCCTAAACTATCTTATATAGAGATGTCACATTCATTCTTCTGAAACACCACTTTGCACACAGATAGGAGATCTAAGCCTTAATCCTCCATCTGGTCCACAAAACTGCTCATATATCTGACAATGTTGGACTCTGATTTGGGGCATGAGGAAGACGGCAACTTTTGGAAGCTACCATGCGTGGTACAGGGGAAAGAGCACTGGTTTTGGAGTAAAAGTACTTGAATTCAAATCCCTCTTCTCTTACTTAGTAGCTGTGTGACTTTGGGCAAACCACTTAACTTGTCTGGATCATTTCTGGATCTGTTAAACGAAGGAGTTTGACCCAATAGTCTCTGAGGTCCTTTCCATTTCAAACACCAGGATCCAATGATCAATTAAGTAGCTCATGGGGAAGTGACTTAGAATCATTTTAGTCTCTTACGGCTTTGTTTCCGTTGCTCTGAAAAGCCAGGCTAACCTTTCTGGGAGCCTTGAAGATTATTAGATGAAACTTCTTAACAAGAGACTGGCCCCGTAGCTCACGTGAAGATCTCTTCTCTGCTTCCACTGGTACCACGGAGAAGTTCAGAGAGCACTGTATTTGAAGGCAGATAAGACCCAGGCTCCTCCCAAGCTGACTGGCTGTGTTACCGTGGGCGAGCCATTTCCCTCGTCTGAGTCTTGATTTCTTTGTCCATAAAATAGGGGTAAAAATATCTGTAGCATCAACTCTCCGAGTTTTGTTGAGAGGTTCAAATGAGATCATAGATGTAAATAGTTTTATAAATGTCGGCTGTTGTTATCCCAATGGATACATTTGCCTTTCCTTTGTGGGTGTCCACGGGATGGAAGGGAAACCATATCTCTTTCTTCTGCATGTACTGCAGAGCTTTAAGAGGCTTGGTGCTCAGTATACCAAACCCTCAAAGGGGGCACGATTAAAGAAGTTTTTGCAGCAAGGACTCAGTGTACCCTGCCTTGAAGCAAATCCAACCTGAGAAAAATCTAGAACATAAAATCATAGGTCTAGAGATAGCAGGGACCTTAGGGTCAACTAATTCAACCACTTCATTTTTCAGATGAAGAAACTGAGTCCCGGGGCATTGAGTGACTTGCCTTGAGTTACACAGGCAACTATCAAAAGCAGGATTTAAATCCATGTTCTTGTTACAGGATCAATGTTCTTTCCCCTGTACCAAGGTACCTCTTACCATCTGTGTTTACAAAGCCAGAAAGATAAATAAGGGTTGTGGTACAGTACACAGAATGTTAGATTTGGAGTCAGGAAGACCTCAGTTTGAATCTCGCCTCAGATACCTACTAGCTGTTTGACCCAGGACAGGTCCTTTAACTTTTCTGCGTCTCAACTTTCCCCTCTGTAAAATAGGAATAAGAATGGCACCCACCTTCCAAGATTGTTGTGAGGATCAAATGAAATGCTTTGTAAATCTTAAAGTCCTGTATAAATGGCATCATAAATATTATTGTTATTTGCTTTACAAAAGGCCACCCCCCCAACAGGATTCTATTCAATATCAAACTTCCCCCATACCTTTAAAATGTGATTCAGCATATAACTTAATTTATCCACAACTTTTTGGGCACTTTTATTGGTTTTATAAAGAGAGGTCTGTCCATGACTCTTGCAGGCTATATACATACTTCACCCAAATGTGGATGAATGAGCCTCTGAAAGCTAACTCTCCAGAAAAAAGTATGGGTATAAAGAGAATATATAATATCATTACTGATGGTGCCTGGCACTGGTGGGGATTCTGTTGCAGATAGATGAGACTTGAACTCTACAAATAGGGCGTGTGTGTGTGCGTTTGTGTGTGTGTGTGTGTGTGTGTGAGAGAGAGAGAGACAGAGAGAGAGAGAAAGATTGAGAGAGAGAGACAGAGAGAGAGAGAGATCAGATCAAAATTCTTAATAACGTTAGTTTCAGGCCGCTTGATGTGGTAGAAAGAGCACAGGATTTTAAGCCAGGGGACCTGGGTTTTAATCTTGCTTCTGTCACTCACCTATGTGACCTTGGGGAGGTCATTTAACTTCTCTGGGCCTCAGTTTCCTCATCTGTAAAATGTTGCAATAAAATGGCCTCCAAGGTCTCTTCCAGGTCTAAATCTATGATCTTAAGTCACGATCACCTTGTGACTCAGTTTCCTCATTTGTAAAACAAGAGAGTTGGACTGAATGACCTCTAAGGTCCCTTGAAGTTTTTTGTTTTATTTTGGTCTTTGTATCTGTGTAGTAGGGGGCAACTAGGTGGCAGAGGACAACATGCCAGGCCTGGAGTCAGGAACACTCAGCTTCCAGAGTTCAAATCTGGTCTCAGACACTTAAAAGCTGTGTGACTCTGGGCAAGTCACTTAACCCTGTTTGCCTCAGTTTCTTCATCTGTAAAATGAGCTAGAAAAGGAAAATAGCAAACCACTCCAGTATCTTTGCCAAGAAAACCCCAAATGGGGTCACAAAGAGTTGGAACAACTGAAACAACACCCAAATCCCCGTAGTATGTGCTAAATACGTGTTTTTTGACTGACTTTCATCTTTAGTCACTATGATAATAGGAATGGAACTCATAGTCATGTCCAAAGCTTGCCTTTTTCTTTTGGCTTCTCCAAGGTTGCTGTGCTTTACATATAGCACGTGATTTGGCCTATGGTATATTCCTCATCCATGTAACGATAAGATGTATTCAACAGGCTTCCACCCTGTACGTTTGCAGGAAAGCCTACATCTGTCAGTTTAGGATAGTGTTATGAGATCATATGAGACCTCAGGATACATCTAGCCTAATGCCCACATTTTAAAGATAAGGAAACTGAGGCCCAGGGAAGTTTAGTAACTTGCCCAATGATACATTTTGTTAAGTAGGATATAAAGTATGTGTGAAAACAGAAATACATGGGTCTTCCTCTCAAAGATACTGGAAGTTAGCACTTCCACTGAGAACAGTCCTTCATTTAGAGAAAATGAAGACTTAATTTAGTTAGAGGGAATTCAGTTTGATTCAACAAGCATTTATTATGTTCCTACTGTGTACAAAGCGCCATAGTAGGTGCTGGTGATACAAAGACAAAATTTAGACAGTCCCTGCCCTCAAGGAACTTACATTCTAGTGAAGGGATTCTACCTGTATACAGATATGTAATTACAAAGTATATATGAAGTACTACAATATGTTTTGGGGAGGGGAAGGTGGGCTCCTATTAGTTGGGGGCCATCAGGAAAGAATGATGTAACAGGTGACACCTGAACTGACCCCTGAAAGAAGCTGAGGATTCCATTAGGTGAAGATGAATTAAATGCTCATTTGGAAAGGGAAAGGGGAGCATTCCAGGCACTGGGGACAATCAAAGGCCTGGAGTGGGGAAAGATGGAATGTTGTATAAGAGGTGCAGTATGTAGGTCAGCTTGGCCAAAATGCAAGAGGCTGAAGTGAGGGGGAGTATGTAAAACAGATCTGGAAAGGTGGGCCGGAGGCAGATTATGAAGGTCTTTAAATTCCAGCTAGGTAGTGCAGTGCATATAGTGCAGGGCCTGGAGTCAGGAAGACTCATCTCATGAGTTTAAATCTGGCCTCAGATACTTACTAGCTGTGTGATCCTGGGCAAATCACTTAACCCTGCTGGCCTCAGTTTCCTCATCTGTAAAATGAGTTGGAGGAGAAAATGGCAAACCACTCCAATATCTTTGCCAAGAAAATCCCAAATGGGGCCAGAAAGAGTTGGACACAACTAAAAAGTGACCGAACGACAACATAAAATAAATTTCAAATAAGATGGCCTATTTTGTCGTAGAAACAATGAGTTGCTATTGAAGTTTCTTGGGAAGGGGAGCAATATGGTCAGCTTTCTGTTTTATTTTGATGATTACATGGAGGATGGAATAGCAGACAAAAAAAAGAGAGAGAGAATCTCTAAGATGGGTAACTGAGAGGATTGCCATCTGATGAAAAATAGTTGTACACATCTCCTTTTTGCAACCCCTCTGGCTACAAATGACTATTAAAAAAACCCTGAACAAACCAAACCTGTTTTCAGAGAATGTAAGTTTCTAGCATTTGTTTTTAATGAACCTGTGATTTCACTGATAAAGGGAGCTACTTGTGGGGAACTTTCCCTATTATAACATTCCTTGAACTTCTCTGCACTTTACAGTATTAAGAAACTGCTCGAGTCACCGAATGGTTAAACAGTTTGACCAGGATTACACAGCTGGTATGTGTTAGAGATAGGACATGAGCCCTGTTGTTTTTGTATCCTCAGCACAAAGTGATTGATACCTCATAAGTACTTAATAAATATTCCTTCCTTCCTTCTTCCCTCTTTTCCCTTGTTCCCTCCCTCCCCCCTTTTTCCTTCCCTTCTTCCTTCCTTCCTTTCTTCCCTCCCTTCATCCTTCCTTCTTTCCTTCCTTCCTTCCTCCCTTCCTTCCTTCCTTCCTTCCTTCCTCCCTTCCTTCCTTCCTTCCTTCCTCCCTTCCTTCCTCCCTTCCTTCCTTCCTTCCTTCCTTCCTTCCTTCCTTCCTTCCTTCCTTCCTTCCTTCCTTCCTTCCTTCCTCCCTCCTTCCTTTCTTCCTTCCTTCCTGAATCTGAGGCCAGCTCTCTATCCACTATGTCCCACTGCCTCTCTTTCTATATTGAGGATACTTTTTTAAAAGAAAAAAATCTTTGTAATTTGTGCCATGGGTATAGGGAGGGTTAGGACAGGTTTCTATGAAGAGGAAGTTCCAATTTCTTTCTTGTTCGGTTTCACAAAAGACATCAATTGTTCAACACCTTGGGGGTGACAGTTCTTGAGAGAGGCAGGGACTCTTCACAGGCTGAGGATAGGTCACCTTCTCTGAAAGTGAATCTGGTCATCTCTGTGTCTTCTCTTCTTTTCTAAATTGCCTCCTTCCTTATCATCCGTCTGTTTGTCTGTCCGCCTGCCTGTCCGTCTCTCTGTCTTTCTGTCTGTCTCTCTCTCTCAACAACTTCTCTCTCCACTATTCCTGAGAGAACTGGGGAAACATAGGCCATCTTATCTTAAGGGGAGAGAAGGATGTGGAGGCTATGTCACTATCTCCCTCCTTTTTGGGACAATTCTCATTTTAAGTCCACAGGAAATTGATAACCAGATAAGTTTAAAGGATAAATAGAAATATAACATCAGGGGTTGAATATGGACCTGACACTTGCTATGTTCAGTGTCCTCATCTATAAAATAAGGATAATATTATATTAATATTATTATTATTGTAAGTGGGTAGGAAAAGCAGAGTGAGGAAAGAAACTTGTAAACCCCAAAAGGCTCAATAAATGTGAAGTATTATTAGTATGAGAAGTGGCCATTGGTGCATTATTGCAAGCTTCACACTATTCTCAGAGCATTAATAGAAAACATAATTGCAATTTTGTCACTCAGGGCCAGCAGCATAAACTGGCCCCAGGGGCAGGCAGCAGTAAAAGCATCTTCAGATCAGCCAGGGGGAGAGAGACCTTAGGACAGTGCCCCAAGCAAAGGAAATAGAGAGTGTTGTTGGGGAGGTCACTCCTGGGAAAGTACCTGAGTGGGGCCAGATCAGTGAGGCATTTAATTGGTGGGGAGCAACTCCAATGGCAGAGAAGAAACATGTTTCTGGTAGCTTCCCATTTCACTGAATTATTCTTGCTAATTAGTTTTTA